TGTATACTGATTTTGACAAAGGATATCATAAGCTCTTCCTGTCTGCAGCCCAGCAAAATTTGACGTGCAATATTTTTACTCTTTACTTTTAGTTTTTCTGTGGAAAGAGAATATCTTTGTATAAGTTGTATTTCCACGTCTTCATTATTTGTATGTGGAATATACAGGAAAATCATCTAGATAAGTATTGTGGGTGTGATCGGTTTACTCCTTTCCTGGGGGGGGGGAGGGGAAAGCAAATAACAACAACAAAATAATTCTTAAGGAAAAACTTGAGTTCTAATGATTCTAAACAATACTTGAAAGCTTGGAAATGGGGTTCAGCAGCTGAAATTCAAGGATAAATACCCATTGACTTCAAGAATTAAAACAAACAAACAAACAAAAAAAAAACCTCAAACAGCTGCCTTCTCTATACTTAATCAGAACCACTTGGGATTCCTCAGGCTATGAATGTTATCAGGAAAGAATGTGATTTTTTTTTTCTTTCCACCTACATTTCTGGGTACAATAAAATGATCATGTAGCTTTTGAAGGCTATGAATGTCATTGTTTTAAATTTATAACATACAACATTAATATTGACTTGTTAAAAAGCTGTATGTTTAGTTGAATATTACTTTATTCATTTGCCCACAGGTTGATAATCACTTATGTACAGTGACAGGTCTGAAGACCACGTTTCTCCTGTGTTCCACAAAATGGATCAATAGCATTCTAAGGGCAGAGAAATCTGACCCTATGCTGTTTAATTAGTGTGCACAAAACTATTAGAAAAAATATTTTGCCGAAGTAGTTACTGATGCTCTTATATTTTCCTCTTCGTCTTCTGTGTTCCTGTTATGGCCCAGCCACTTCAGAGTAGCCTGCCTCATCTTATTCTTCCTTCCCAGAGAAGGAAGAGAAGAGGTGTAGCTGCAAGACTGCTCAAAAAGATATATAACTCATTTCATACCCTTTCAAGAGTTGATATTCTCCCTCTTCATCCTTAAGGAACTCCTTAAACCCTCAAAACTAGAAGTAGAATTACTTCATGGTGATCTCATTTTTTTTTAGGCATGAACTTATGAAGTTGCTAATCCAGTCTTTTATCTTGTATTCACAATTATAATGTCAAGATTGAATAATCTGCCTTTATCTCCAGGGTGACAGCTATGTAGGAACTTCAAAAGGGACAGTTTTGCCAGCATCTAAAGACTCTTGTTAATTACTATCATGAAGTAAAGCAGGATGAAAAATGTTATTTCTTCTTGACAGTGTAGTAAAAATATCAGTGATGAAGCAGTACATTTTAAGTACCTTAAGAATGCATTTAACTGAGATCAAGACCATTTCATCATGGTGCAGGCTAATCTCTATGAGATACAAAAGACGTGTGTGGCATTGATGGTTTAGAAAGCTCATAATTAGAAATAAAATATTTTGCTTCCATTTTTCTATTGAAATAGGCTAAGATGAGTTAGTAATAGTGTTGATATACAGTGTACAGGAAGGCTTGTATTGTTATAAGTGTCTTGTAAATAAAATTTAACTTCCATTTTCTTATCTTTTCATGTTGTGTACTCCAGCTTTATGCTGTTTTGACTGCTGTTGGACTTAAATGACCTAATTAGTGTAAAGCCAGATTATATATGTTAATACAACCTGTAGCAAGCAATGTGTTGCCAGCAGAGAATATGAAGTGTATCAACCATATGCCCACATTCCTCCAGGGCTGGGATTCTGCATTGAGCATAAGTTCGTCTTTCTGGTACTTGTGGAGAGACAGAGGCCAAGTGAAACTCTGCAGGTGGGTGAATGGAGTGGTATTTGCTCCATAGACTACAAGAGCCATATGAAAGAACTCGTTAGGTCAAACCAGTAGTCTTAGACCCATGGCCAACAACTATGGCTACATTCTCATCTTTTAAAGTGATGGTGTCATGCTAGTTTTTTCATAAATTATGGAAGTCTAATATAAATAATTGCCCAAGCAGTCACCTTGGTATTACTAAGGGGAAAGCAAGTACTTCATACAGCCTAATGAAAGATAAAAATAAGGCTGAGGTTTTCAGAAAATATGTAGTATCTTATTTACTTTTAAAATCTGATTTAATATAATATACTACTATTCATATCACTAAAAACATATTAAAAACACTAGATAACTTAAAGCTGAATTGACGTTGGTGCAAGAACGTAGATCTTCATGACTAAACACTTGGAGAATGGTAATTCTGTGAGTTTAATATTACATCAGCGAAGGTTTTGAATAGTAGTTAGTCATAGAATTTTGAAGGTTGGAAAAGACCTCCATGATCATCTGGTGCAACCATCACCCTACTACCAATATCACCACTAAACCATGTCCTGAGGCAGGGAGTGGGAAGGCTGGGCCTGCACCCGATGTCCCCTGGACGAGGGCTGCCTATGGGCTGTGTTTGCGGATCGGCCGCAGGGACAGAAGCTGTGCAGGTGCACGTTAATGGCGCCTTTATGGCCTATGTGGCACTGCGCAACAACGAAGGCACACAGTTATTGAATCACAGAATCATTAGAATTGGAAAAGACTGCTAAGATCATCTGGTTCAAACATCCCCCTGCCACAAATATCACCCACTAAACCATAAGCCATGTCCTTAAGCACCAGGTCCAACCGTTCCTTGAACACCCTCAGGGGCAGTGACACCACCACTTCCTTGCACAACCTCCTCCCAGTGCCTGACCGCTCTTTCTGAGAAGAAATGTCTCCCAGTTTCCAACTTAAACCTCCCCTGGTGCAACTTGAGGCCATTCCCTCTAGGCCTATCACTAGTTATCTGTGAGAGGAGGCCAATCCCTAGCTCCCCACCACTTCCCCTCAGGTAACTGTAGAGAGCAGTGAGGCCTGCCTTGAGCCTTCTCTTCTCCAGACTAAACCATCCCAGTTCCCTCAGCTGCTCTTCACAGGCCTTGTGTTCTAGGCCCTTCGGCAGCTTTGTAGCCCCTCTGAACATGTTCCAGGGCCTCAATATCTTCCTTGAAGTGAGGGCCCAAAACTGAACACAGTACTTGAGGCCATGCTGTGGCCTCACCAGACCTGAGTACAGGTGAATGATCACCTCCCCGGTCCTGCTAGCTACACTATTCCTGATAAAAGCCAGGATGCCATTGGCCTTCTTGGACACCTGGGCACCTTGTCAGCTCATGTTCAGGTGAGCATCAATCAGCACCCCCCGATCCTTTTCCTCTGCACAGCTTTTGAGCCAGTCTCCACCAAATGGCTGTTGTTCCAAAATCCTTATGCTGCTAGTAGCTCATAAATTATGCCCTTAGGGGAGATCATCTTATGAGTATAAAGGGAGTAAGCAATTGCAGAGACTTTGGGTAAGGGGAAGAAGAACCACCCTCCCTTGTTGCTATGCTCCACATCCCCAAAATACAAGATTTGGCAGTGGTTATTCACAGTTTCCCTGCAGGAACTCCACTGTGACTGTACAAGGGATGACAATTCAGATGATATGAACCAGTCCCTGCTGCCAACAGCTGATTTTAGCAGTGCTGCTCACTTGTTTGCCTACATGTGCTGCGTTTGTGCTTTGCGATGTCTTGAAAAACATCGAAAAATAAAGGGAAGCTGGAATATTCAAGTGAGATAATACTGCCTCTGGGCAATGGAGAATCAACAAATGGAATGTTCCTTGTGTCTGTATAACTTTGTAATGGTGTCAGCAGTATGAAAACTGCAGATATAACATATCTAGTCCAGGCTTGGAGTCTCTCCCTGCGTAACAGAAGGAAATGCTGTGCGTGTGTGGCTTTCCCTGTGTACATAATTTCTTTTATTTCTTTTACTTATGGAAGAGATGAAGTTCTGAAGCAGAAGCTAAGTGCATAGATCATTGTGGTTAAATGGGGGGTCCTGCTTTTTCAGCAAAGGGACAGCTTTAAGCAATTACCAAGATGCTCTCAAGAAATTGTAATGGTTAAAATGAGTCAAGCGTGGTAATGGAGGCATTGTAGCACTTGTGCTTTCAGAAAAGTGAAGTGTACATTAGAGCTAAGGCTTGCAAAATAGTTGAATTTAGTGTTAATTTTAGTGGGATCTGTGGGGTGTTTTTTCAGTTGTGCTTGAAACTGAGAACCTTGTGTATCACTTTAGGTTGGCATGAAAGCTACTGTTTGAGTTTATTACTGGGGTCTGTTTTAAAAATACTGAGGAAGCTTAAAGGAAGTACTGCAGTTTTTTGTTTTGTTTTGTTTTGTTTTATAAGGTAGTTCTAGTGCCTGAATAGCTTTCCGAAGTTAAACCTTGTACCTGCAGGACATTAGCTTTGTAGTGCAAATGCCTCTTCTGAAAGTAGGTGTGAAAAATTACATGACTTGATATGTCCATAGCGGTGTCAGTACACTGGGACTTCTAAAAAGCTGCAGTCCTCAGATGAACTTGTATCAAGTGAGCCTGAGTAGTCTGTGCTGCCTGGCTTCAGAACAGTGCGCACAGCGCTTCCAACATGATTACACTTGAAAGAGTTGTAAGTGGGAGTATTTTAAGTGTTCTATTATTAAAGTGGTGCATGCAAACAGGCACAGCAAAATATCCATAATAAATCTAAAAAGAGTGACCTGTGAAATATGGAGTGTCCCAGGGTGGTGGAGCCAGAAATCATTGCTATTCAGTAGAAGTGGCAGAAGAGAGCAGCATGCGATGAAGTGGGCACCCAGCTTGAGAGGCAGAGCCTGTCCCAGGATGGAACTGCAATAGTGTTCTTGCACAGCTCTTTGAATAGCTGTACTAAAAAATCACAATTAAAATATGTCATTTTGTGTGCGTCTGTAACAGCAATCAAAGTGCAGTGGTGGTTTAAGTGTTCTAAAATGGCTAGGCCAAGTCATTTTCTCACATGGCTGGTTTTGATATGTAAATAATAAAAACCATGGTATGTGCATTTATGCTTTTAGAAATATATGATTTGTTACTAGGAGTAAATCTAGACTTGCTTTTAAGAATTATTATGTGTTGGCTTATTTTATTCACACAGAAAATGATGATGAAACCACCCTCAGAATCCAAAAACTGGAATGGGTCAGCCTTCACGTGTGTCAGTTAATGCATCTGTCATGCTGTGGTCAGAGATGTAAGTACAAATGATTTTAACTTTCACTGTATGTAATTATTGGAGTTTTGGTCAGAACTAACATATTGGGAAAAAAAAAAAAAAAAGTTATATTAACTAAGACAATTGCTTCTACTGATGTGGTTGATACATTCATTGTCTTAAATGTGTGTGTGTATGTATTTATTTATGTATTTCATTAAGCTAGAATTACTTCCCAACTGGTATGTGAGAGGACCTTATATCACTTCTAATTTTCAGTCTTAAGCTTCTTAATCAAAATTTTAGAATAACTTCAGCTTACAGATAGAAACAAATGAAAATGTCTTTCAGTGACAGTAACTGAGGTTACATTACACATAAATATTCTTGGTAGCAGTAGAAAAAATCTTCCTTTTGCACTGACTGAATTGCACAGGCAAGAAGAACGGTGAGTTATTACACGTCTCTACTGTAGAAACACGTGGATACAGAGGAAAAAACTTTTGCTAATATTTTCAGTTGGTTTTAAATCCTAAATAATGTGTACTTGCCTGAACTGAAATACAGTCTAGTTTTTGCTGAACAGTTCAGTGAATTACTGCTGCAAAAAAGTGGAGTATGCAGTAGCTACTTAACCAGATTTCCCTAAAGACAGCTCTACCAGGCTTTTTGAAACTAGCTTGTCTGACTCTACACAGAAGGAAAAAACTCTTCAGTGTCTCTTTGGCAATTTCATTCAGACCTTAAATTAATGAGCAGAGTATAACCAGTTTTCAAGCAAAAAACTGAGAGGATTAGTGAGCGAGGCATGAGAAACAGTCAATCTGAATGAAGTAATTCTCAGAGTATACATGAATACATGAATATTTGCAGCGATTTCTTTTCTCTAGATAAATCTGGATTTTTAGTTGGTGTTCGCTCAGATCATCTAAGGCAGAAGGCTGTGAAGAGCACTGCACTGTCACAATATAATGCTTCGAGTTTTGGGGTGGTTCTACTGAAGGTTTCAGGGATTTTTATGCTGCGTGTGTGGTCCTATAATTGGAAGTGTAAAATTATATCTGCTGTAAATATTCAGCCACCTAATAAAGACAAAGAATGAGACTACATTTTTGTTCTCCTTTACGTCCATTTGTCTGTAGGAATTGATTCACAGTTTTAATTAGTCTGCCTTGTTTCAAAAAAATCTCTTCCAAGAAGCAAAAGTTACAAGCACTTAAGACTTTTTTTTTTTTCCTAGGTGCTTCCTTTGGTTTCAAAATTTGTACTCACAGTATTATTTTTTAGAAATGTTAATTATTAGCTCATTCAGAACTTGTGTATGTAAAATTACTGAAAGCCTGTTCTAAACTACTGGTGCATGTGTGTGCTTTGTTGGGGAAATATAAATTCTTTCAAAACCTGTGTCATTTTTGTTAAGAGTATCAGGAAAAGGTCTAGGTCTACATAGAGCTGATGAGAAAATGCAATCAATGGTGTGTTACTGAGACCCTTATCTGTTGCTGGGAGAACAGCTTTTGATTTGAAAGGAACTGGGTAGTTATTTGTGTTAATCAAAGGATCTGTTCAGAAGCAGCAAATAATCCCATTTATTAAAAAGGAGGATAGTCTCCATTCAAATCTCTGGCTGTCCTCAGAGCATAAATACCTATGCTACTAAATAACTTATCTCCTTGCTTTACTATGAAGTCCTTAAACCTTCTTTATCCATGCTGTGTGCATGGATGCCTTATTCCTTGGCCTGGTCTCAGAACAAGGCAGCTACTACCTGTTGTATGAAACCTGGATGGCTTGCAGAATAGTTGGCTCCAGGGACCTATCACTCTAAACAGTATTGATATAGTAGTGCTCGATCTGTCAGTCTTTCAGTTCTTCAACACTGTCCCATGATGTATAGACTTTCAGAGATCCTTGGGGTGTGCAACATGCAATCTCACAACAATGCCATAAAGGAAAGGATCTGGCAGGCCACGCTACAGCTCCCACTACTTAGGGTACATTGAATTGGAGGAGGGGATGCCACAGGGGTTCCGAAGGACATCTGTCTGCTCCTGCTGTTGCAAAGTGAAGGCACAGCCAGCAAGCCCCGTAAGGGAGTGATGTGAGTGGCTATGACAACATGCACACAATTTAGGGCTGTCTGGACCTACCCACTGCTTCCCAGGACATCTGCTTTAGCACTGTAGCTCTAGCACTTGATTTCCATGTTGCAGTTGAAAAGAAAACAATGGAGATTCTTTCTATACATACTCTGTTTCTGCTCACCATTAGATGTAATGTAAAAGTATATCCTTCATTTCAAGGTATTGGCTGAAGGAAGACAGCAGTTCATCTGACAAAACATTTTCACATAAGTGTATCAATTCATTGCTAAACGCTGGTCTCTTCTCCCTAAGCATAGGAACATAGGATTTATAAATCATTGAAAGCTGTAAAAAGGAATCCTATCCAGTACATCAAAATGAAATAATTGCTTTTGTTTGGAAACTTCAGTTGATCTATTTTTATTTTATTTCATTTTATTTTTACACTTAAATAAAAGAAAATCAAGAAAATATTGGAAATTTCGGACTCTAAATGCATGGTAAACAGTTGCCTGCTCAGCTGCAGTATCAGAAAATCTGTTGCTGTATTATTGTCTGTTTTAAACAGTTCAGCAAAAATTATCATACTGACAAGTCCAAACCTGAGTGCTTAAATGCTGAAATGCCTGTGGTAGTAGATTTTTAATAAACACAGTAATTAGATAAATTCTGAAATACTGACTTATATTAATTTAGTTCATGGACACCCAAATCCAACAAAACATTTGCATGTAATCCCATTAAAGTCAATATAATAGAAATTATGTATGTCCTTAAGTGCTTTTTTGGATTAGGGCCTAAATATTTGTTCTTTTCCAAGAAAATGTTTTTCAGCTCCTGGCTCTTAGACACGCTAATAAAAACAAATGTTGCAACCTGAATATCTGAGTAATGAGGCGGTCACTGCACCCAGCTATTTGTGAAGCTCAGTCTTGCCATTCTGCACTTGCCTAAGCGCATCTGACTTGAGTCAAGAAATACACGATGCTAAAGAGCTGAGAGGCTGAGGAGAAATGAGCTCCATGAGATGATGCTTATGGGAGAACAGGCTATGTAACTTCACAGACAGAGGAGCATGGATGAACTATGTGAACACAAATTTTAAGTAAATACAGATTATTGAAGATTGACCATTGTAAAGCAATTCATTTTTCTGATGTCTTGCCACAGTTAAGACAGCAAGCCTTTCTCTTAAATTTCCCCAAGGAAAGGTCTTTGAATTTACTGAGGAGTAACTCCTCTAGGAAACTATACCCCGGAAATGTAAAATATAAGAAAAAATAATATCCTCTTAACATCAATACTGTGGGAGTGGGGCTATCAGAGAGAAAGATGTGTCCTACTCTGGAAAGGGACCCTTGAATAAGAAGGCTGAGAAGGGGTAGGTGGTAGTTGAGCACAGGATGCTGTCATTGTTGTGTAGATTACAGAGATTAGATGCCTGACAAACCTGAGATTCATGTTTTTGTTCTTAGAATTATTATTCTTGTGATGATTTGATATTTTTCTTCTTAAACCTTTCATTTTTTAGGAATGTATTTAGGACGTAGGAATTTAATGTGGATACAAAAAAAAAGTGCTTGGGAACTCCGGAAAATGATTGCAAGAGTTCTGTACTCCAAAATCTTCTGGTTGCTACATACAAGGGTTTCTACCTAGAATCCATGTTGTAGATCACAGCACCTTGCAGGAAGATGGAAATATTCTTTCTGCTTCCCTTATATACCTGACCATCAAACATTCTACATGTAATAATTAAATACAGCTACTTGGATGCCTACAAATCTGTGTATATATTGTTCATTTTCTACTTCTGTCTTATTTGGACTTATCACTTGAGTTAAAAAACAAAAATGCCTTCCACTGATGTAGTATTCTGTTAGGCAGTTCCGTTGGTCTGCTAGCTCTCACTGTTCCCATCCACTTTCTTTTGTTTATCTGCCTTATATGCAAGTGCCTTGATCATGAAGCTCTTTACTACTTTGCTCTCAGATTTCCTCATGACACATTACCCTGCTCCAGGAGCAGGGAGTTGGTAATTTGTAGTGTTTTCTGTTTGAGTAGCAAACCTGAAAACTCTCAGAAGTAGTAGGAAGGTCACAATTTTCTGGTAAAAATAGGGATGAAACATAATGCAAAGCTCTTGTCATGAAGGAAATGCAGACATGATTCAGTCCAGATTTAAGAGTGTTTTGCAGCAGCACTGGAATAAAAAATAATGGTTGTACTTAGCTTGGACTGTAGGCACAGTGCTGTCAGGATGTTGTTCCTGTATTCATGATTCAGATAGCAAAACCTATTCAGAAGAGCTGGCACTACTGGATCTATGGCAGCTGTTGCAATGCATAATTAACGCAGCCCTGGGATACAGTTTCAAATACCATGTCAGTGCATACACGAAGCCAGCAAAATGGGCAGTACTTCCAATAGTCAAATATTTATGATTAAGTAACTTTTTGATGGTATACACATTACACATTTTCACAAAATACGGTGTGGAGAGGATGGATTCCCAAATACATTGTAATTGAGAGATTCCAGAGGAAATTAATGCCATTTTTTGTCCTCTATAAAGAGCGAGAGAATGATGAATTAATGTTTGCTTAAGCAGTTTGGGATATGTAGAGCATAATCAACAAAATGAGTAGAGAAAGAAACCTCTAGTTAGCTACTTCACATCTAAGTAGGTCAAAATAAGAGAAGGAAGCAAAGATGTGATCAACATTTGGGTAGTATGGTAGGTGAAGCTTGTAGGTGAAAAAGGTTTCTCAGGGAAACAGGTATGTAATATTTATGTCCAACTCCTTGCTTGGCAGGTTAAGGAAAATAAAAATGGCTCTGTTTAATATGGCTTCCTTTTGTATGTGCTGGTAGCCTTCACTGAATAATAGGAGGAGCGTCTTGTCTTTTAGGTATGAATTTGGCTCCCAAAAACTGACAATGTTATTAGAGTGT